CGCTAAGGTTGGGGGAGCATTGATTTTGCAGCGGGTCTGCAAAGATCTCTGCTTTGTCCGAATCTAGCGAGTAGAGTTTGTTCCCTTGTTGAAGGGGGGGGGGAGGGAAGGCCGTTTGTTACGGAGTTTTTTAACGACCTTCCAAGCATTTCTTGGGTGGGACTCTGCCTCGGCTATGAATTTGTTAAATTCCTTGTTTCGGAATTCGAAGACTTTGGATTTGACTTCCCTTTCAAGGGAGTGAAGATGAACTTTAAGTTCGGGGGGTTCTCCTTTTTTGCCAGAGTTTTTGGACTCTTTTCTTCTCCTTGATGAGACGCAGGAGGTCGCGAGGGAGTTTAAGTGTGTGTTGGGGAGCTGTGGTTGTTGTGGTGGCTTCTTGTGTGCATCTGTTGAGTTCGTCAGTGAATTCGTCTACTGCTTGGGACGACATTTAAATGGGGAGGATTCGAGGTTATACGCAAGGTGGACCCAGTCTATGCGGCTGGTGGTGACGGGTATGGTGAGAAGGGATCTTGGGATCTCTAGGTAGACTGGGTTATGGTTGCTAGGGAGGTCTGGGGATGTTCGTGGTTCCGTAGGGATGGTCAAGTTTTTCGTCAGGAAAATGTCTAAGATGTCTGGGTCTAGATCTGGTGAGCTGGGATAGTGAGTCGGTTCACTCGGAACCTCAATGTTGATGTTGAGGTTGCGCAAGTGTTTGAAGAGGGAACGACCCTTAGGATTTTCGTGTTAGCATCCCCACAATTTGTGCTTAGCGTTCAAATCACCAGTAACTATCGTAGGAATGTTCGAGTCAAACAGCGGGATTATGCATTGGAGGTTTGGATCATCCATTGGAGGAGAATAGAGGGAGATGATCCTGATGGAGGCTGATGAGGTGGTGTGTACTTCAATGCCGACTGCTTCGCAGTTGGCAGCGTCCGTACTTATGACTCGATGGCAGATGCCCTAGCGTACAAGAATAGCCACTCCGCCATGGGATTTTTCGCGTCTGTCACGTCTGTGTACCGAGTAGTTTAATATGTAGAGTGTTTTTGTGTTGTCTAGGTGTGTTTCAGTGATGCATGCAATGTCGATGTCTTTGGTCTAGAGTATGTGTGTGAGTTCAGTCGTTTTGTGTATGATGCTGTTCGCGTTCCACTTGAGTAGCGTAAAGTCTCTGTCTAGCGCGCTGCTGTTCTGTTGCCCTCGAGACCGGACACTCTTTGGTCGAGGCGAGTCAGCAGGGTCATTACTGAGTGGAGTATTGTCTCGGTGGTCGAGGGTGTGTTGAGCAGAGGAGTCGGGGGAGGAGCTCCTGTTCGGTGTTGTTGGGAGGATGCCACATTCGCGTATGACATCCCCGGGCGAATGATGTTCGAGCCTTGGGCTGTTGTCCGCGGGGTGGCTCTCCCAAAAAGGGGGGGACGTGGGGTAGTGCTTTTCTTTGGAGCGTGAACTCCTTTTTGGGGGATTTTCGGACAACCCCGGTAGAAGGCGCGGTGCTCACCATCGCAGTTTTCACAGCGAGGGGTGACTTGGTCCTTATCCTTTGTTGGACAGGTTGCGGTAGCGTGGTTTAAACTGCAGAAATCACAGACGAAGGCGGTGTGGCAGTAGGCTGCCGTGTGGTTGAACTTTTGGGGCGACGGCATTGAGGTACATCACTCGATTAGCGCTTCTGTTCCACTCTGACAGAAGTACCCCCGAGTGACCTGAGGTTATAGATGTCGTTGGATTTGGCATCCAACACATCCAGGTACACGGTAACCAGGGACCAGGTCCGTTCACCCTTGGTCATGCGATAGACCCGACGCGCGGATGGTACTTTTTCCTGGATCATCTCCAGGATTTATGCTTCCGTATAGCCGATGTTGACTCCACGGATGGCAACTATCATTTCACGATCCTCGTAAAGTTGATGGGTGGTAAGCTCGACCTTTTTCTCGACAAGGTCGTGGACGATTCGTCGAAAACTGTCAACGTTCTCGGGGTACACGCGAGTGCCTTCAAAGGTCGTAATGGCGCGGCGGACATGGATGTTCTCCGCTATGAGGGCTTTGTTAATCCTGGGCCATAATTTTTGGTCCAAGATTGTGATCGGTGGAGGTGCCTTCTTTTTGGGGGCGCTGTTGGTTTCATCCAAGTCATGTTGAGCTTGGTCCTCAAGATGACCGTCGAAGGCGTTTTTCCCTGTCTAGGGGTAGCTGAGTGGTCGCACCTGATTTTGGGATTTCTCTATCTCCATGTCGGAGAGAGTGTCTGCGGAATCGTCCGCGTTGAGGTCGAGCGTGCGCCATTTTTTAGGGGTGGCTTTATATTTGGGGAATTGGCCGAATTGTTATTTACCTTATTTCGTAGCGGGGGGAATTTCTGGGCTTCCAGAGAGGAAGAGTTTAGGAGATTTAAGGGGTCACGATTTAGAGGTGATGGTACTACAAGACCCGGGCCTTTTGGTAGCGGAGTTTTCGCTGTGCGGGGTGACTTTGCAGAGAGTGCTACAATAGTCCCATCTTTCTCCTCGTTAGAGAGTCTTTAAGAATTAATCAGCTGGATGAAATTTTTCAGTTGAACTGAGTACTCACTCACTATTTTCTCCAAGTACTCGATCCGTTCTTTTTGGCTCGCGAGTTCCTTGGCGATTTCGGACGGTATTGTTGTGGCCCGAGAGAGCGGGCTGCGCTCCCGCTGGAGGTTGCATCGGTTGACGCAGGGATCTCGGCTACCAAGCTCGAGGGATTACTGGTCCACTGGCCGGCTATGTGTTGGGGCTGACATTGAGGGGAGCTGTGCACTTATGTCACTTGCACTGGCACTTGCACGATCAATTGCACTGTTAAGCGCTAACATCTTGGAAGATGAGTCCGATTCTTCTAACAGCGCGTCAAAAGAGTTAGTCACACTGACTTGAAATTATGGATTATCCACAGTGCTTATTTTGTGGATGTGACCTAGTGAAGGGCTAGCCAATTGGGCCACCCCTGAGGGCGGCGTGTACGCAGGTGTAGAATTTAGCGGAAACACAGTCGCGCGGCACGACTAAGTCGCGTTTACAGAAAGAGAAAGAGGTAGCCCTGAAAAGGGCCGTTTAGAGAGAACTCAAGTCTGAGTAAGAGCGATGCGTCACGCGCGTGCGTTCGGTACGAGCGCTCGAGCGAGACTGAACTCCGCTCGTGACGACTGCCAGTGAATGACTGACTTGGTTCAATAGTGGCCGTCTTTAGTTAACACAGTCTTTTAGTCGACGAATCGCTTCCGGAAATGGTAGTAAAAATGTATTTGTTGGCAGGGTAGTTTAAACTTAAGTGGCCCTCAAAAGAACCGATGAGATTGATGGTTAAGAAGGGAACGTAAATACTTATAATAGCCCTAAAAAAGGCCAGTGGTGAAACTTCCAGCTATTGCTTATTATTATTCCTGATGATGAAGAGCTGGCTGCGGGTAGCTTGACTCTTCCCCTCGAAGTCTCTATATACGGAGACTGTGATGGAGAGAGGTACGCCGCTGATCAAAGAATATCTTGTCTTCGGGTCGTTTCTCGTATAACCAACCGCTCATAATTAGTCGGGAAAATGTGGGTATGTCGTTGGGGACATGACCACTGATAAGGACGCCGTTGTGGTTGCCGGTGCTCCTCAGGGCTGTCTTCCCTGGCTTACATTTATAACTAAAAATTCTCTGACGGCACTAGGCCGGATGGTGGAATGGCCACATAACTCTAAAGTGCTGGAGCAGGTTATGCTCTGGCTAAAAAAGTCTCCTGGTATTTAGCCGAAGACGCCATCGGTTAGAATAATATTTTATTGGTGGCAATTCTGGAGATTCAGGGTGGATGTAGACCTACGTCACTTGACCATAAGAGAAGAGTGTCGAAGGTAACCGGGATACCCAGTTGCACGACTATCAACTACATTCTTGATGCAGCTCGATGAACTGCCGGTAGACGAGTGCAGATATTCACGAGACTTTCCGGCCTATTATAACTACACTTATTTAATTCTGTTGCATTTAGCCTAGATTTTATGTCGACGCCACCTAGCGTATCCTACTGAACTAAAGTGAAAAGCTGGCGTATTTTTGCAAAACTTTGAGCTTATTTATTGCTATTGTTATTAAATTTTTCAAGATAAAAACTATACTAAAACCATCTAGGAAGTGTCAAGAATTGGTATGCAAAATTTTAGCAAAATCGGTTCAGTAGTTTTCGCGGTCAGCGATTACAACGGTTTTAGCGACTTTGATTCATGTTTTAGTAAGACAATTAAGCCTATATAGTTATTTTTTTTTTATGTTATAGGGCCCTACGTCCGGCTTCTTTAATAAGGACCACTACTATGGGTACTTAGCACTTGGGAAAGGGGCAAGGAAAGGGATGGGAGGCCTTCCATTACAGGAGGGGGGTAGGGGGAAATTAGGCAATTTTTGCTGTGAAAAGGTCGCCTAAACCCTCCTCGAGGAGCATTGCGTGGCGAAAAAGCACATGTGAAAAATCATAGAGGTAAGTACTTGCCCGAAAAGTAGCACTGGCCGGGAATCGAACCACGGTCTCCCGCGTGCCAATCCACGACCTAGCCGACTGAGCCACCGCGCGCTCAAGCCTGTATAGTTTTATAGTTAAAATAGCACTACTAATCAGTGAGTATGTTGACGGTATCAATGCTTATATTTCAACAGCAACATTACTATATTTAATGCAGGATTATTGTTTACCTTTATTCATTGCAGTTATATTTAATATATCGCGGTGAAAATTTTCTAATGTGTGGGAGTTTTTTTGCATCGAAATGGCTAGAAAAAAAGTCCTCAAAAATTTTTTGATGAAAAACCAACACTTCAGGTCATATAGGACAGGCTGCCAAGTCCACTAAGTTATTGTTCTTTTCAAATTTATACGGATGCTCTTATTCATAACGTATAACATGTGCAAAAGTATCTTTAAGAGTCAAATTTTGAAAATATATTTCAAGTTGGCGTACAAGACGTTATATTATAAGTATGATTTTTTTTATTTGTTACAGTTCATAGCGCTTATATGCGGCATGTGCGTGGTGGTGCTGATGATAATGGGCCTTATGTCGACTGACTGGCTGATGGCCGAAGGTTTTCGGCAGGGTCTCTTTTCTCACTGCATAGCCGAGGGCGCGCGCACTCCATTGCCCTTCAACATTGTCGATCCCCCTGGCTGCTACTCGGTCCGAAATGTCGGTGAGTATAGCAATTCCGAACGACTATTTACTTAACGTATCTTTTTCATCCCCTATACTAACTCTGCTGACATGTCACTGTGTTTATGAATTTCCGCATCTACGTACAAATTACAATTGTCTGGCAACTTAGGATCATTTATGCTCTACCTCATTTCTTCCTCTCCTTTCACCGACTTTTCCATCAGTACAGCAGAGCAGAAGCAGCATCAGCAGCAGTAGTGCCTAGAGCGACAAACTATATTACAAAAAGCTTCAGTGCCCTGCAACTTTGCTTTCTTAAACGCGTTACACTTAAGTATACATAACTATATGCTGTCATATACGTACAATTGGTGCTGCGAACTCGCACCAAGTTGTATTCATTATTAGTTCCATCCCAAACTTCTCGCAAAATTCGGTTATCTCTTCGATTTGCTTTAACTTGAGTTAGTTTATTTACTTTTTTACGTTTTCTGATGCAAAATTTGTCAAACCAAAAATAACTTGGCAATCGTCCTGAGCAATCAATTTTTATAACCATATTTTCTCGTAAATGCGTATTATTATTCATAATTTGAGAAAGGTCCAGTCCTACACGCAAAAACTCTACACATGGCTTTTTACACAAAAAAAGTTGTACATTATAAACATACTCTACTTCATACAATCATCATTTTACATAATAAATTTAAGCATCACTGTAGTATTTGTTTCTTTAACAAAAAGCAGTTTAAATTTTTTTTAAATTGATAAATTTACATTACATTTTGTATTATTGCGTGTAAATTGCTTGTAAATTACTCAAAGACATGACTGGAAAAATTATTTAGTCAAATCTACTAAATGTTGAACAATAGTTACTCAATGTAGTTGAGTGAACTACGTTGAGTAAGATTTGTACAGAGACTTAAGTAAAATTTACTTAACTTCCTAAGTAGAATTTTTGCAAACGCTTGAGTTGAATTTTTTTACGTAAATTTTACTCAACTTTGGTGTCAGTAAAATTTACTCAACTAGACTGAGCAAAACTCGCAACTTGATTAATTTTACTAACAATAGCAATTTTACTAGGATTTACTCAACTAGGTTTTTAGAGTAAATTTTACTAAATAATTTTCCCCGTGATGTTTCGCACATCCTCTAAGTTTTTAAAATCTTATTAATTATATGAGTATACTAAACAACAAAAGAATATTTTTCAAAAGATTTATGTGGTTGAATGACTCATAATTCATCCAATAATAACAGTAAATCTTGGGTGTTGAGAAATAATTCATTGCATAAATAATATTTGACGTTGATGATCAATTTGTTAATATTTAAGTTATTTTTAATATTAGAGTCATTCACTTTTAATAAATGATTCATTTGTTCGAAAGAAGATTTTGACAATAATGTAACTATGCATAATCCGTTAATGATTATTTATAATAACTAATCATAAAACGTATGTAATGTAACAACGGCTTTTATCTTATTCGTAGAAACATCGATAACAGTAATTTTTATTTTTTCGTCCCATTACCGAAAACATATTGATCTTATATTTTGTTGTGAAAATTAAAATAAGAAAAAAATTAACTAACAATTATCATGTTAAAACATTCATTCATGATTGTGATACAAAATACTTATCAGTTACGTACATACCTTTAAAATTTCGAGGATTAATAAAAGTTGTATCGATATGTTTTCAATTCGTAAATATTGTTATTCCTTTCAATATTTTTTTAAATTTTTCTTAAATATGTGCGTTTACAGCCCCCTCAGAAGATAAAAATAGGTTTCCACCTGGTGCACATCCCACCTGGACAAGCACAAGAAATTCCTTGGGTCTTGCTTCGCAGGTTCCACGAGCTCGGTACGTGCCCCGACGACGACATGCGATACCGGTCACAAACTCTGCAATTGTTTCGAAATTTTTAATAATTTCATAAATTAACTTTATAATTAAAGTATTAGTTCTGAAGATAATATGAACCTAAAGTTTCAATATCGCAGAGTGATGATGTATTACTAACGATGGCCGTTATTCACGGTGTTGAGCGACAATACAGCGCTGCCCTGATGGTTAGAAGCTGAACCAATTCTACTACTAAGTATGTAGTTTAAACTGTAGACGCGCGAATATAGTCAAAACATGAGTTAGGTATTTCATAAATAAGTTTACTGGATTTATTTAATTATGTATGGGTAAAGGCTCTGTATTCACGACGATACTACAAATAGCCATGCGTATTAAAATTTATGGCCACAATTCAAAAGTGTCAAAAGTAGGCTTCACAAATAAAACGTTCCGTACTTGAAAACAAAATTTTTTTTCTATTCTAAACTATCAGATAGACTCCAGTTTTTAGATAGTACATCGTAAAAAAATTAAAAAATCAACGTCTAGGCACCATCAGAAACCGCAAAAAATGAAATTTTTAACGCTTCGCGACACAGTAATGACATTTTCGCCTGTTTTTTTAACCTTACAGCCGTGCGAAAAAATTTTTCGATTCCATCTCAAAAATGCGTTGAGAGAAAATTAGTTTACACCGTTTAAAAAAATATCCGACTCAAAATAATTCATTCGTCGTTTTTAAACATAGGCTTCATAGAATATCGCCTTTTTAGTGAAATGACCACCGCGTATTGAGTGAATATTTATATATATACACTAAGTATTGGACATTTGATACACATAAATAAATGTAAAAACCAACCAGAAATGAAACATTGAAGACGAAAAGCAGCGATCATTTTGAACGTTTTAGAAAAGTTTTCAAAGCATCAGGTGATTTTTTAAACAGGTCCCAGATCTCAGTCTCCGGTATTCTTCGAGAGATATAAGCAATAAAAATATAGAAAAAATCTAGTAAAAATTAACATTCGGCACAGTAAACCTGATACAAACTGACGATAAATAGAAAAAATAACCATTTTAACAGTCAAAATTAGAGTTTGAATAGTAAAAATTGTTGTCAGATCGACAAAAATCAACAGTGAACTATAAAAAGGTGGTAAATAAATTTTATGGTTCCAGCATAGTAATTTTTAATAACCTGACTACAATTTTTACTATTCAAACTATATAATTAATACCGTTCAAATAGTATTTCTTACCTTTTAGACAATAACTTTTCCTATCTCGCCAACTTTTATAGTTATTAATTTTTTTTGTTGTTAACGTTTGTAACAAAATGATTGGAAAGGTTTTTTTGAAAAATATGGTGCTTGTGCTTTTGAACGTAGAAGTGATTCAAAAAGCAATTCTATACGCTTGTATAGAAAAATTATAAAAATGTACGTACATAAAGAGTTGTAATTCATTTTATAACAGCACTTTATATATTTTCATGTAAAAGTACTGAAATTACTAATGCAAAGTGATTATATGATGTACGACTTATGTATTATAATAAAAAAATTTAATTTTTTTCTATTTTTGTATGTCAAAGTATAAACGTTAACTGCATTCTCTTGTAAAATTAAAAAAAGCATCTGTTGCAACAGAAAAAATAAATAGTGCGAACCGAGAACATAGTACAAACAGAACGATAATAACGTCAAACTGATCTTCCTACTTCGAAGATATTTTAATAGAATGCTTACCATTATTTTTAACTAATTCTTATTTTTTATTTATCATGTACTACCATATTTAATTATTTTATTGAATATATCAAGGGTAGAATATTTAGTAATCCAAGTTCATCATCATTTATGATTGCTTTTTATAAACAGTTATCAAGCATGCGCGCTTAACGAACACTATTAAAATCTGACAATGTTGTTATAACTTATTTTGTTATTATTTTTACCATTAACAAAATCTAAACTATGTTATCTGTATCCTCAGAATTTCTTTTTATATTTCTGTAGTAAAATCTTACAAATCAGCTAGAATCAGTGGCTATACCTCCAACATATTTACTTTGCTTAAAATACCTACCAACTCTCAATATTGTTTTTTCCTTATCAATACATCCTCCTTTGTCGTCTTCTTTACAAGCTTCTTTTTCTGTTGATCTTAAATCTGTATACTATTGCGTGATGGTGTGATAAATCAAGGAAGCAGAGACAATTTTCAACGTTAATCCCATCTACAGATTTTGAAATAATTTTCTACTGTAACGATTGCTGTTTCTGAAAATACCTGTAAATCCAACATGCTCCTCTAGATCGGGAATAAATGTGATCGATTAGTTTATAAAATTATAATTTACAAAAATCAAGTGGTTTAACACTCATTTATGTAAATCTTTTATGGTACGATATTTTAAATTTACCCATCTCGTCGCTTTTATTTATAACGTACTCACTTCTCTGATTTTCATTGTCATTATTTTTTGGGGCTGTTTGGTTTTTTTATCCGTTTATTATTTTATCATGATTTCCACGATTTTTTTCATACAGTAAAGCTGAACTGTATTTGAAAATTATTTTTAATTTCATCAAAATTTTCAGCATGTGTATCATGTTAGTTATTAAAGATTTTCATCGGGAAAATATTCTTTTAGCTTTTCACAGACAGTTCTTATAAAATGTGAGGAGCACACGTGTAGAGTTAATAAGTAGCAACAAACGACGATATATTTTCGCTACATTGTAAATAACATCAATGTCTTTATTACGATTCTAATTCTTGAAGGGTTGGCATGTAACAAGCATAAAGCTAAATTAAAGTTCATTTCGATTTTGTGGGTTTTCTCAAATTAACTACTAATAAAACAGAAAAGTATAACCTTCCAAAAGTTTCTAGACAAGCTTCTGTACTTATAATAGATATAGCACATATTTTATTTTGTGCTTGAATATCGTTTTGAATTCCAAAAATTTAGATAACTTACGTTTTTATGTATATTTTACGAAAATAGCCGATTTTTACAGATTGACTAATTATTTATTTTAAACCTAGTAATCCATGATGCTCATTTAACGTTGTTCATTAGTGACAGTAATATTTTAATAAATTATAAATTTTTTAGTTTAGCTTTCAGCTTTCTACTACCCTGTATATATGCGGGATTTTTATTCCTTTTTTTATAAGTCTGTTTTCATTAAAACATTTTATTACAAGTCCTTACAAGTTGATATATTTTACAACCTCAGGGTTGATAATTATTTTAATTTTTTTCATTCCAACCGCTTGAAGTACCATATTATTATAAGTGAACACTCAATGTAGACAAATAATATTTATTGTAAATATTGTCTACTTCTTACAGGTTACATCAAGGCAGCTGCTATATTATGCGTAGTATGTTTAATTGCTGACATAGCAGCGACAATATTGACGGGTCTCGGCCTCCGAACCCAAGATCACTACAAAAAGAACAACTACTACAGATTAGGAGTCTTTTGCATGGGAGGCGCTCGTATGATACTCAGATTCATTAAATATTTATTTAAAATATTACATAAGAAAATTTACAAATCTTTTTTTTTTTAGTTGTTGTTCTGCTGATAGCGCTGGTCATATATCCAGTTTGCTTCACAGCCGAGCTTAATTTCGGTAAGTATAGACATTATTTCATATGAAATTTTATAATAGGATAGAAGTTCAAATGTTTCTCTTTATTTTTATTACTACATAAATTTAATCAATTTCGTTAGATAAAATGAAAATTAATTTACGTTACGTTTAATACTACGATTTATCAAATTACAAATATTATGTACTGTGTAATTAGTTCTTACATTCGTATGTATGGGCAATAATTCAGATATTTTCAGTCAATTAATTTTATAAGACAAAGAAAAAGTCACTAATTTTTTAAATAAATTTAAGACGAAATCAGGATAGTAATAATCGTTACTTCGCTAAAAATCACGATAGTAAAGAACATAAAATTACGGTAAAAAAGTCTCAAAAAATTTTTTTGCATAAAGTTTATCGCATTAGTTTTACAGAAAAATTACTGTAACGGATTTATTTGTAGGTGTGCAAAAGTAGAAACGAGAAAAAACATTTTTTACTTTCATATGTTTTGATTTAATGTACATACTGATTCCATACACAAAACACACGTTATTGGAAAACATTAAACTTCCATGCAAATAAAGTGTGCACTTAGAGACTTAATTGGTTCATTATTAACAAGGTATTAATATATCTCTATAAAAGCATATAGAAGACTACGATAAAAAAATTCAGATGGTATAATGATACTTAACTGCGCTACTGGATATATTTCGGGCTTTTAGTACAAATCGTATAAAAGATAACTTAATTGCTAAAAATCAAAATATGTTATATAGTATCGAATAAGGATAAAATGAAAGTTGACAACAGACTTTAGTCAGCTAAAGTTTGACCTTCTGCTTGTTTTTCGGTTACAATTTTTCTGTAGGTGTTCTACATGACGATCAATTTCGAATTAAAATGTGAAAATGAAATCTAATTTGTGACTTTTGAGCTGACGAAATAGTCGAAACAAGTATTTAAATTAGTTTTAATGAAAATATTTCTAAAAAAGTGTCCTTTCAGCTCCCCGCGTCCTTTTGCAAATTTAATTTCCATTTTTGACTCTTGCTATAATAATGACCCACTCCCACTAAGTGTATGAGTCGACAACTTTGATATATATATATCTAAACTATGTTATCTGTATCCTCAGAATTTCTTTTTATATTTCTGTAGTAAAATCTTACAAATCAGCTAGAATCAGTGGCTATACCTCCAACATATTTACTTTGCTTAAAATACCTACCAACTCTCAATATTGTTTTTTCCTTATCAATACATCCTCCTTTGTCGTCTTCTTTACAAGCTTCTTTTTCTGTTGATCTTAAATCTGTATACTATTGCGTGATGGTGTGATAAATCAAGGAAGCAGAGACAANCAAATATTTTGTTTCAAATCTTGACCAAATACATTTGTATTTGATAAGGTATTCAAAATAATTTAGTCAAGTATAAAATAATTTTTCAACGTGATTGAACTTGAAACATAATTGTGTAGGATAACATGCAGTCAAAAGCTTATAGCAGGCTCAGCAGGCCGGTTCACGGTGAACGGTTATAATCGATAGGTATACTTTATCAATTTACTCATTCCTAAGCGACTAATCGATCCTTATTTGAAGATCTCAAACTAGATCTTAAATTTTAAGATCTATTTTATTTTATTATCTATTAACCTTAGCGATTGCCCATACGTACATGATTAAAATCATAGTTTGGAACTAAGGAGAGGAATAAAACTAGGAATAGAAATGAGAAAAGGTGTAGAAGAATAGTACTACGCATTTGCCAGGAGGGTATCCTATGGGTGCAAAAATCACTCGGGAACGACCCATACTCGAACGGTCCCAAATTGCTTTCATTTCATACATTCGTATTTAAAATACAATATTTAAAAATATATTTTCAAATTTCAAATAGAATTGAACCGTGCCTTGAAAGTATTACTTGGGATAATGGTCGCATGAAATTCTGGAATAAGTACAGTTTCATTGTTAATTACACACTCATTGTGTTCTACCCTCGTCTTTCGGTTACCGAATCAGGCTCCGTAACGACTAGACCACGGTATGCTAGGTATATCCGACGTAGCACCGGTAAAGTACATGTTGGAATGTGTATTGTTTGTGATACACATGCACAATAAAGTTTAAAATCCAAGGGTATTCCTGTGGACCACGGTATTAACAATGGATAATTAGTCGATTTAAAATGATTAGTCTGCACGTATCAATTTTTAACCCTTATAAATAAAAAAATATGTTTCTCGTGATGATTACATAGTATAACCTCAGATTTGAAACTCAACAGGGGGTGTAATCTGCAATCGCCGCCAGCAGTTACATATGTAAGACGTGACAACATTGCGTGGTTGGGGGCGCTACTGTCGATTTACTGGTGATGTGATCCGCAATCCCGCCAGCAGTAAAGCAGACGACGTCAGTCTACTTGCTCTTTTTCGTGACATTTTCTGATTGTAAACAAAGCATATTGTGCTAGACGTAAACAAACACGCAGACCAAAAAAAATAGTTTCAAGAGCCAAAAAGAAGAATGGAAATAACAGCTTTACTGCTGGCGGGATTGCGCGGGATTACAGCAAAAATGGAAATAACAGCTTTACTGCTGGCGGGATTGCGCGGGATCACAGCAAAAATGTCACGAAAAAGAGCAAGTAGACCGACGTTGTCTGCTTTACTGCTGGCGGGATTGTGGATCACATCACCAGTAAATCGACAGTAGCGCCCTCAACCACACAACGTTGTCACGTCTTACATATGTTACTGCTGGCGGCGATTGCGGATTACACCCAGGATACTCAAGTATATGTACCTATAGGTAATCTACCATTTCACTCAATCGTCGAAAACGTCGTAGAAAATTACTTTCGAACATAGTAAATTTTACTATACTGAATAGTTATGCAGTAGAATTTGAAATTTTACTATGTCACATAGTGAGGTCTACTTTAGAATGTGGGGCATTTTAAAATGATTACAATAAAATTTACTATGGTGTATGGTAAAAATGATACCATCACGGTTTTTACTATGTTAGGCATAGTAATTTTTATTATGCTTTTTAATAATTTTTGTAGGGTTGCTACATAATAATAATTATTTGAAATATAATAAAAATTACTGTAAACGTAATAATGTGCGTTGGGTGAGTATGTCTCAGCTTCCCTAAAAAATGTAGTAATTTTTAGTACAGCTATAATACTTTTTTTAACATTACTTTTCTCAGTATATTAAAAAAGAATTAACATCATGTCTATGGGCTGCAAGACCACTTGAAAGTTGAAACTTTTTTTCCGTTCTGATTTCGCAGTTAAAGTTTATTTTTTTCTTTCTTTCTTCGTTTCTTCGTTTCTTTTAGACAACGAATTTTTACCAGACATTTTTTTTACACTGTTTTTGGTCAAAAATATGAGATACGTGTCTAAGTGTTTTATCTCTGCGTTGATGCGTGTAGCCACGTAACAAATTTTATGAAATGGCTTTAATTCAGCGTTAATAAAAATTCATGTAAAACTCTGTCTTTTTGAAAAAAATTATTCAAAGTTAAGCGCCGTTAATCAATAGTAATAATAGTTGGAAGACAAATAATGAATTTTCAATAAATATGGACAGTAAATCACTTTTATGCATTTTTTTTGTTCTATAAGTTGCCGTAACTTTATTTAATCAGTAGTACTAAATTAACCAAAACTACAAATCCATAAGCAACGTACGTATACGTACTAACAACAAATGTTAGAAAATTTTTCTACATCTTTTGACAAAAAAGAAAAACTTCATTAAAATCATTTTGTCGTGTAAAAGTTGTCGGAGCACTACAAACGAAATTTTTTTTATCTTGTCCATAATTAAATTCATCAATTTGCAGTAAAACGATATTATTTTTTTTTAGGATGTAATCATACAAGATTCAACAAAACATGCCTAAATTTTAAAATAAGTTTTTACTGAATTCAAGTTATCAAGTACGTTTCTAAATATATACCTAAACACGATGTTCGAAGCTCGTCAATAACACTACTCGATCAGAAACTGCATCGACAAAAATAACTTCCATGACTAAAGAAAAAATCGCATTCGCGTTCTACAAAAGGAATAAATGTGACTCGTGGATGTTGTACAGTCAAGTTTCTGACTCAGAGCAAATACATGTGAGCTGTTTGGACAGATAAAAAAAATAGCACACCGTCTATCCATCTAAAGAGCAGATTTTTCATGCACAGTAGAAACAGTGGTATAAAAATACCCAAGATAAATTTTCTTGCTGGTAATACTTTGTTTTCAAGTCAAAAATTCAAAAATTTTGAAAAAAGTTTCAAAATGTTGTGAGCTCATTAGTTAAAAAAAAAAAAAAAAAAAAAAAAAAACTTGGAAACGTTGGTAAATAAATCAAATATTCATAAACAGAAGGACATTGTTGAAAGATTTGTTTTCAGAAATCAAAAGTTACCACTTAAGTATTACAATAATAATGATATTGTATGTAAAACGTACAGGTGAAAATAAACAAATGATTTGTCTCAGGTAACCGGCCAATGTGGGAATTCGGCTGGGCGTACGGTGTCGGCTGGGGTGCGGCGATCTTCCTGTTTGGCGGGGCGATGTTGCTGCTCTGCGACAAGGAGAGCGAGGAAATCTACTACAAGGAGCGTAAAATCGTCCGCGAGGACGTAGCGACGGGGATGATAGGCTCGGGCAACAACTCGATAGGGGCGAACCACCCGATGATGAACTCTTCGTCAGCAATGTCGGGACCCGGTGGCGCCCCGGCGCTACATCACCACCACCACAATCACCAGTCCCATCACCATCCCGGGGGTGCCAGCGCCGGCGGACCCGTCAGAAGTGGCACTCAGCTCGCCTAGTGGCATTGCTCCCTGCCCGACGTTGTTCTCTAGGGCTGAGCTTGTGTAGTACCCGGTTGCTTATCACTACACCTTGCGAGCACTTTGACCGGGTATTATGCAGGTCTCGCCTATGCCACACACGTGCAAACAGCAGCAGCAGCAGCAGCAGCAACAGCCGAACAGACAACAATGACACGAGCTAATGTTTGGAAAAAAATCAGCAGCACCAGGCGGACAGACTGCATCAGACAGGATTCAGCTATCATCACCACCATCATCATCCTCACTCTTCTTCTTCATATTCTTCTTCTTCTTCTTCTTCTTCTTCTTCTATACCGACGACGATTCGAGGTTCCACTAGTCGTCGTCGTCGTCTCTGTTATCCTCGTCATTGATCGTCATTATTTGTCGCAGCGCATCATCATTCACTGACACTGTGTATACCTAACACGTATTTCCTCGCTTCCAAATACGGATCGAGTCTGGACTCTGGACTATGGTATTAAACGTGGGATCTTTTATAATCGGGCATCCGAGAGATATAGAGTAAGTGGTTCTTTTTTTACGATCAATGATCATGTGAACGTTTGCGGGACTATAGAGAATCTTGCATTTGCTCGGCTCTGACCAAGATTTTTTTTTTTTTTTTTACGTCTGGCTCTTATTGAGAATCTGACGCATCGCTCGTGATGTATGTAGTGCCACGAAGTCATCTTTAACATTGGTTTGAAAAATATTGGACTCAAGTGCCATGAACATTGTTTATTTATTTGAGGTAAGTCGCATTGGAAAAAAAACATTTCTGAGAATCAATGAAATAAGTATTTACTTAAATAGTTCCAAGTAAATTGTCTTGAAACAAGATGGTATTTTTTACGCTAAGAATATTTTCTAATGTAAAATAAACGTTTTCTTCATTTTCTCGAGAAAGTACAATCTTAATTCAAGAGATTATTATTTTGCCCGGTACTGTTCCAGTAAATACTCTCTTGGTTCTCAAAATTTTTGTTTTCCTCAGCGAATAACATCGAATGGAATATACAATCGAGGTCTTTCGTTTCAAAATTTACTTTCCAAAAGAACGTATGTTAATTTTCCTTTTTTTTTTTTTTTTTTTTTTTTTTTTGTTAAATCGATAAACTATGGCTTGTTGAAGTTCAGTTAACTTTAAAAGACTGACAAGTCGGTGAAGGTTTTCCTTGACTGACGGACACAAACTGCGCAATCCAATCGTTTCTGTCCCGGATGATCCTCGAAAGGAAAATTCGGTCCAAGCTGATGACGAAGCCACGCGACTATTGTAAACTTTAACGTACCAACTCACCGAGTTACCATACATTATTGACGTTAGACAAGATGAGCACGATTAACTTGTCCATTGCTTGAAATTTAGTGCTAAGCCATGATTTAGCACAACGCGCTCGACCCAACACAAATACTCGACAATGGGATTCCCCTGTATTTAAAATTATGTGAAATTCCCTATTCCCTTGACTTGTAAAATTTTCTTCATTGACGATCCTCGCGTATACTCGCGTACCTATCATCACGCCACATGTGGGAATACATATTTATGTTCGTACAAGTGCGGCGTGTATATATGTGTGTATACAAAACTTAGGGATTTTTGCACACGTATAAACATTGAGCAAAAAGAAAAGGTCGAGTACTGGGGACGAGCAAATGCGAGCTAGATCTTGACCGGCTACCGAGCAAAGAGAAAGGAATCCCGAAGAGCGGGACCAGCGTCAGGTGCATGCTCTAATTCGCGTGATACCTATACACACCGAGATACACATGAGAAAAGCCGCGTCGCCCAGTCGATGGTACAGCGTATACATATAGGGTTGCGCGTGCGAGGGGAGAGAAACCAGAGTGCACGGGGATCGAGCATATATANTCTGTAGCCCATGGCCAACCTAATTGCTTTGTTCTGTATTACTTGCAGCCTATTGAGATAAGTTTTAGAGCATGGGGAAATCAAAAAGCCACAATATTCTAAGATGGGCCTAGTTATAGATTTATACAACATTAGAAGAATCTTGGGATCTTCTCCCCACCTATCATGCGTGCCATCCGAGTCCAGACTCCCCTGTATGTACTCCCTTCTCCCCGTTCCACGCGATTCCCGTGACAATCGAGGCAAAAACTATGCACCCATCACCTCTCATATCTTTCTCGCGGTCAGTCATCAGCTTATTTTTCCGTCCACATTTTCGTTTACGTTCCAAGTCCGTGCTTATCGTTGGCCAGCGTTGATTTTCCATCCGCGTTTTGTACACGTACACCAAGCAGCGAGCACTGACTACCGACAATTGAATTTTCAAACTAGGAATCGATTAATCGCGTTCCCGTTGGGGAAAAAAAAGTTTGAAGAAAGAAAGAGGAGACCGACACGTTAGTCGGCACAGCTAATCCGATTTGCGTACAATTAACTTTGCGCCGTGTAATACTCGCTCAAACGATCAGATCCAATTAGGCAATACATTCTATAATATTACACACCGAGTGTCCGACGCGCTAAGAGGATTCAACCGTTTCATGTTTCGAACCTCCCTTCTCCTCCTGCGCCGGATGGAGCTTATATTTTTGGAACTCTCTCTCTCTCTTTTTTTCTTTCTGTCTAAATCCGCTTGAATCAATTCAGCCTCTTCTTCCTGAACGTTACGTTGGTTGGCAAATTCCTTTGGAAACGCTTTATTTTCAAATTTATCTGGCAATCGGTTATTCAACCCCGAGCGAGCCAAGGGAAATAGACACGCACCTTCCCGACTTCTGTACTGCGAGATCATCCTCCAGCCAGGACACGGTACACGGTGGGGCACACCTAGCTCGTTCAATCTTCGTTACTGCCGATCTTTCGGATTCTTTCCATCCATAAGTTGGGGAATCGCGTTAAAATGAAGGTAAAGCGAACAAAGGAAAAACTTCTCGGGCCGCAATTTGGGGGGGGGGGGGGAGAAAAGACACAAAGGCCGACTTTATCGACAGCTCGGAGCTGCGTTAATAAGAATCGAGCAGCCCGTGAGTATGCATGAGCCACCGATGACAGTGCCGGGAAGGCTGCGCGCGTGTGCCAAATAATAGACATGTGCTACGCTGTTCAGTGAACGTACACGAAAACGCGATGAGAAACACATATTTTAACATGGTTTAACGCTCGGCCAGGTGACCTGTAGAAACAATTGATGAAAACAATGCTAGACAGAACAAAAATAATATAAAATAAAAAAAAAGTAAATGATACTTGTGGTTACGTGTTTTGGAAATGAAAATAAATAAACTTGAAGCAGTTGTGGAGGAACAATAAAACAAAAAAACTCGCTATTACACAGAATCTATAGCCATTATCTATACCATCTATAGCATTTATCATGTAGCGACGTGTTTTGCGATGGTTTTGCGATAAAAACGGAAAGTCAAGATTTTCTTTTTTTTTTGCGAGGTGTCATACCAACTCTGATGTGATGCATTATTCTTTCTTATTATTTTTTTTTTCCTTTCATTTTAAAACTATTACTGTAAGTTAGTTGCTATTGCTGTTAACTTATTGCTGTTATCGTTGTAAGTATAAATTTATGCTTTGCATATGCGCGCAACATTGATTTTAATTAATTTATTTGCTTACTTGCTTTGATTTTTTACACAAAGTGTACATTGTTATTATTTTATTTTTTCCAACCATAGTATTATTCCACTACTATTAAAGACTTTAATTTATTTAATATTTTTATTATAAGTACCTTTTGTACTGCAATTATTTTTACTCGAGGCACATTATGACCAAACATCTCACCATTTTCGGGAATTTTTCAAACTTCTCGATGTGCGTATGAGTGTGTCTCGAGTGCCATTTACACGTCAACGAGGAAAAAAATTTAGCTTAAAGTTTTTATTTGTATGTGTTCTAACAAAAATGTATTTTGCAGTTTAAAACTGCCGTAATGTTTGATTTTTGCCCCTACTTTTATGATCTTCTGTTTTTGTTTTACTTCATTCGACGTAACAAAAACAAAAAAGCACGTATTATTCAAATTTTTTTTTTTTCAAACCAAATTCGTGCAAAACGCATCTATAAACACTAACAGGCGTTTGTCGGCCAAAGAGGCCCAACACCGTCATGAATTATCCATCCTCTCAGCCATATCTCTATTTCATCGTCTCCATCCACCCAACGCGAGATTACCACATTTTCGCCTATCTCATACTCAATTGGAAAAGAAAGAAACGAAAAGGCTGAAATGGTCAGTTTAAAAAAATCTGAGTTAAGAAATATGAAAAAGTCAAAAAGGCAACAAAGAAGGCACAGCAAAAACAAGAACAAGCAGCATATTAAAAAAACGAAGCATAGTGTTTGAACATAAAGTGTGAGTAGAGGCAGCTCGGGCAGGTTTTAATGATACACTATGTGTTGACGAATAAAGACCACTTTTTGAGCATTAACACAACGGTGTGTTCGTGTAAATATAATATATACAGATTTTATATAAATATTTGTAACAGTAAAGAATGGTGTGTGGGGGGGTGTGTGTGTGTGAAAAATAAATACATGAAGCGAATCGAAGGAAGCGGCCGATAGCGATTATCGGCAACACTTACAAACAGAGGCAAGTACATTATTAACTACAAAAGTTGCATTAAAGGTAATGAATGAAAGTCACTGCTTTATTATAGAGTATATTTTGTTCTTCTTTTTCGTTCAGCTGATTCGTTTTTTAGAAAGTAAGGATTTTTCGGATAATGCTTATACATTCTTTGTCAAAGTGACTAACTGCGACACGTAATTCCTTGTCAATTGTTGAGAAAAAAAATGTAATGCGTGAAATTTATAGTGCGCTATGGATATTTTACCGGTGAATATTTTGAGTAGTAGTTATGAGAGGGAGAAAAAACGCAACACCACATATACCAAAACTAATGGTCATACATTATAATTCTAATGAATATTATCATCATAACAGCGATTCGGCTTTTGTGTTGTAGCTATTTTATATTTTTTTACTTCATTGCGAGGTACACATACATATACCTACCTAAACACTTTACGTAAATTGCGGTATTATTATAATTACAATAATTATTATTTTTATAATTAAATACTATAAGTTGAAAAACTATTGAGATAATTACGATAAGGTACGCTAAGGTACTGCAGTTAAAAGACTTGAAAAATTTTTCCATCGTTATGTGCATTATAGCATTGGGTGCGATATTCACTCTAAACGTATGCGAATAAGCTTTCATTTATTTATACCTTGTAAATTGTTTGCAAAGAAATAAAGAAATACAAATACGTATCTGTGTACAATATCACATATTATATATTTTATTACTCAGTACCTTAGAATTCAACTCAATAACAGACTTGTGAGAATAAAAAGGTGATAGTATTATAAAGAAACGATAATCTTCCGAAATAGAAATTTTTTTTCTGCATAGTTTATAACTATACTCTGTTACGAGCCGTTGACAAATTTGATTTACTATTTTGTACTGTTGAAACTAAACAATAGAAATAAATTTAATGTGAAAAAAATAACCTAGAAATGTAAATTACTTTAAGAGTACGATATGTAAAATTATAAATATAATATATATGAAGAAAGAAAAATACGTATAAGATGAAAAAATAACGTGCATGCTAATGATTATAATTATTGTGCAGAATAATGTAAGGTCCAGTAGAGTATTACTTTCAATTACGACATGGCCATTGTTAATAATCATCTCATAATTAGAAAAATGTATCTTTTAATCAGGCCTGGATCGTCGCAGTTGCACCAACACATTTTATGAGAATACCGCACTTTTCGTACGAGGGTACAAATAAGTGGTAGGTCTCATCCAATTTAGCAAGGATAAGGGGTACTAATGAAGATTGTCCGCACAGAACTTAAATGTGGTGGCGTTAATTTTACTTAAGCCAAGGTGACATTGCAAATACTTTGGGCAAGTGGGGGTATCAACGATCTCTCACTTTATCGAGTAGAGTACGATTTTCAATGCCTTTTTTTGGCTGAAGTACAATCAGTGTCACCACAGTAAAATTTTGTTTGGACAATTTCCATATATGTGTTCGTGAAACATAAAGATTTTTGACATCTTAACAAGACGTCAGTCCAGTTTAATAGAATAAATTGCTTAGCGCTTTAAAATAAAAATGTCGTGTTTCATACCCAGTGAGTCGACAAATTTGTGAAAGTTAAATTTCTCAGGGTATTTTTTTTCAGCACTACACATATCATTGCATACAATGGTAAAAAGAGCAGGGAAAGAGTGCAAAAAAAAAGAAAAGAAAAACACGTTAAACGTCGATTGTCGACAAGGGATTACAACCTATAGGTACATGGAAGCCGATGTCATACACTGTAGTGACATTATAAGAGCAATTCGTAGATAATAGATAATAGTAGAACCGCATGTTACAATTGTTTGTATGTCATACGTCGTTGTAAAACACATGTCACTCAATAATACCTATTGTACAAAGAAATAAAATCATATATCTATAATAGAATTTGAATTTATAAGATATCTTGAAACAATTGCAAGTCTATATCAGGCTTTGATCATTTTAAATCCATTCTATATTAACATACCAAAATCGACTGTTTTTCAATTTAATTACTCAAAACCAGTATACAGTGGGTGCTTGGATACCCAAGTATGAAGTTATACTTCTATAAAATTTTATGGCAAACAATATAATTTTGAGTATAAAAATACCTTCCATGAAATAATATTGTTTATGAAGGTGGTGCAATTATCGTAGGAATGAGTATACCTACGTGTGATTTTAATTAATATTTAATGTGACAGAGCGGCGTTGGCTGAGTGGTAAGCGTGCTTGTTACTAATACAACGCAGTTCTAGGGGTCGTGGGTT